GCGAGGGGAAGGTGGGAATGGCGCGCTGAGGCAGGCGAGCCCCTTTTCGCCCTGGATCTCGCTTTGCGGACTGTTGCAGCTGCCGGCCGCACTTTCGGAAACGAGCCCCGGTTCTGCTCCAGGGGCACGGCTGACGGCCGTCCGATCGCTTTGTATCAGTGGGGGCGCCAGGATCACGGCTGATGGCCGTCTGATCGCCTTGCATCAGGGGGATGCCAGAATCACGGCTGATGGCCGTCTGCGCGCTTTGAAATTTGCGAGGGGGGTCTTTGAGCGCGCGCTCGCCCCCTGCAGCAAACCCATCTGCCGCCGCGTTTCCAGGAAGGGGCGCGCTTTCGGGCGCCTCGGCGGCGCCCGCGAAACCACTGCGCCTGGGGCGCTGATAGGCGCGAGTAGCTGGAGGGGCGCCTGTTTGCTTGCCTCCAGGGGAGGGAAGGACCGACCCGCTGTGGCTGACGATCGCCTGTTCTTTCTGTAGCTCTCGATGGCGACTGCTGCGGCTAACGGCTGCGCGGCAAGATGCGCAGTCCAGGATATCGTCGGATTGGCGATTGTCTGCAAGCGAAACGCCACCTTCCAATGAATGTGCGACGGTCGTCGAGCGAAGAGCTAACCTCAGATTTGTGACTGTCTCCAGGTGGGTCCGCTCTATGCCCAGGGAGCGCGTTCGCAACGGCGTCCGCCGCGCGCCTAGCAGCCTGGGCTTGATCCACGACGGCCGACCAGAGGGAGGCCTGCGAAGCCCTCGCAGCGGCAGCGGCGCAGGCCATGGCGGCGGCAGCGGCAGCTGCGTCGGGCGCATCACTGGCGGCGCGGACGCGGAAAGCGTCGGCAGCGCTGGCGGTGCCGGGGGCGTCGGCCGCGGGCCAGCGAGCGCGGGCAGCGCCGCCCCGCCCGTGGGCGTCGGCAGCGTCCGCGGCGTTGGCGGGGGGGCGCGAGTAAGCCGCCCTGGCCGCACCAGCCGCCTGGAGGGCGCTGGCGGCGGAAGCGGCGGCGGGGCTACCCAGGCCAGCGGCGTCAGCGGCGTTGGCCGCGCTCGCGGCGGCGGGCGCGCCACGAGGACAGGTCGCGTCTGCCGCGCCAGCAGCGCGCGTCGCGTTGGCAGCGCTGAGGAACCCCAGCGGGCAGTCGCGGGACGCGGCAGCAGCGTCCAAGCGGCGCTGGGCAGCCGCGCGCATCTGCCGGCGCCGCCGCGCCGCCGCGGTCTCCATCACCCGGGCCCGCACGCCGCACCTGAGCAGGGGCGGGCTCGAGCCGAGACGGCTTGAGCCAGAGGGCTACGGAACCGCGCAGGCGGGGCTACGCGAAGCGTCGATAATTAACTTACACTGGACATATTTAAAAGTATTAAACGACCGCCGAGATACGACAGTGCTAAACGGACGAGCGCAGACTCTGTAATCTTACGAGCCATAGCAAGCAGTTGCTTTCGGGCCATCGGGCGCCTCTTACGCTCTCTTACTCGAGCGCAAGCGCATCCGGGACGGTGGAAGCGGCTGGGGCGGCGACGCGTCGTGCAATCCAACAAAAAAAGGATCTGGCAAACCCCTCCTCCTCCTCCTCCTCCTCCTCCTCCTCCTCCTCCTCCTCCTCCTCCTCCTCCTCCTCTTCCCCTCCTCGGCGTCGCGCGGCGCGCGCCGCCGCCGTTAGTCACGCGGTGGTCGATGTTTCGGCCGCGTGCGCTTCAGCAGTCTCCGCCCTGTCACCCAGGACAGGCTTGGGGGTAAGCGACAGGCTCGTATTCGCTACCGTTGCGCGTGCTTCGCGACCTCGGAAGTTTGGCCAGCATGATCCAGCATGCTATCCTCCTCCTCTTCCTCCTCCTCCTCCTCCTCCTCCTCCTCCTCCTCCTCCGCCCTCTCCTTCCCTGTGGGGTTTCGGCCCCGCTGTGCCTCCTCGATCGGTCCCCGTCGGTCTTCTCGGGCCCTCGGCGTGCGTTCGGTGTTCGCGGACCCTCGGTCGGTCCCGCGGTCGTCGGTGCCCCCCTCTCCTCAGTGCGGGCTGCGCCCCCCCTGTGCATCCCTCCGTCTCTCTCCGTAGTCAGTTTGGCTTCAAGGCTCGTGCGCTTGCTTTCGGCTCCCACGCGCGATCGGGAGGAAGCAGGACTGCTGCGGGTGCAGGGTCGGGGAGGGCTTCTGCCGAGGGGGCAAGGGAGAGCGGGGGAGGAGACGGGGCGGAGAGGAACGGGAGCACAGCTGGAGGGCCAGGGAAGTGGGAGGAGCGATGTGGGGGCGGGGGGGACGCACGAGCACGGAGACCGGGCAGGAGCAGGTGCGTCGGGGGGGAGAGGAGGAGGACGAGGGCAGGCAGGGGCACGCGGGGGGGGACGAGGAGGAGGAGCATGCGTATGTTTAGGGACATGTGTTGCGTGTTGCTGGCTGGCCCGAAACACGGTCGGCGATCAAAACGGGCACGAGAATGATGAGGAATTGGGTGCCGCAGGGGACGACACAGTCTATGAGAAATTGAGGCGGAGATGGGGAGATGAAAGAAAAGGGTATCGAGTATCCGGGGATCCCTTAACTAATGATCAAGTTGTGGATGAGTGTCATTGCTCTAGGCGCCAGAATTGATTGATTTTGAAGTCCTATCTTCAGGGCATCGCTAAGAGGTCAGGGTGTGAGAGGCGTTGCCCGTCTGTGAGGAGCCCTGTAGGCAAACCAGAACTAGCATATAGACGATATGAATTCGACATCGAAGGCCGCTCTGTAGTGGGGATGGAAAGAATGGTATGGCGATATCCTCAGGCGCCCCTTGACTCTTCCTTAAACCTCAAAATGTCTTCAGAATTGCGTACGGCAGGTTCGTGTCGTGATGATCGATGATCCCAGCGTCAATGTCTGGCATCGCGTGGGCCATGCAACACTGAACGATGGGCAACTTTTCGATTGCCAAACCGTACCATGCTGGTTGTTGTTGGGCCGCTGGCGGTGTTCAACCTTGAATGCCTACGGCGGGGCCGCTGCCGCGTCGACTCTGCCGTAGGTGTCCCTGTGTCCCTCGAACTTCCTTGAATGTTCACATGTTTCGTTGGGTCCCTTGGACTCTCTGGAACTCTTGTGCGGACCTATATATTTCTGGCCTTGCCCATGATTGCCCTGCAGCCCCGCACGCAAGAACCTATCAATCAATATAGCGGGACGGTTCAGAACATCCGTGGGCAACAACGGCGCGCATAACTATCTAGTAGCGTCGGAGTTCGCTTTGTAGGATTACCCATCCTCCCATCCCATCTTCCTCCTCACGCCTTCTCCTTTCCACCCGGCGCCCCAGAGCCCCTAGAACCTAGAATCCAGAACAACCGATAGACATATCCAAACCAACCCTGGAACGCTCCTCCTCCACTGCAAGGGTGTCATTTCGCAAGCTGGATACCTGGGTCGTGCTGGGGGGAGACGAAGCGGCGGCGAGCAGCGCGACGAAGAGGAAGAGAAAGGAGAAGGACGAAGTGGGGCCTGGGGGAGCGAAAGAGGAGGTGGAGATAGGGGAGGCTGGCTCTTGCGAACCGACGCGGGTTCGAAGCTGCCCAACGCTGTCTCATCACTCACCAGGCGCTGATTGGAGCCACTGCGCTCTTGAGACGGCGTTGCGAGGGCAAACGAGGCCCCCATGACTTGCCAGATGGAGCGGGAGGTGGGTTGGTTTGCCCGCTTCCGACGACACTTCTCCCGCGGCCACCACCGTGTCAATGTTGAGCTATAGCAGCAATGCCTCGCTCTCCTGGGGCTTTGCTGTGTTCCTGCTCGTTAACATGTATCACGTGTGCGGAGCTACACTGTCAATGTCGCGCTTTCCTGTGGCGTTGCTGTGTCCCTGCTCGTAACGCACAACGCCAGAGGCGGCGGAGAGCTTGACAGATCCACCTACCGAAAGTGGGCTGGCTTGCCCGCTTCCGACGACACCTCTCCCGGGAGGATACTGGCCACCCCGCACGGGCCGTGGGCGACAGGCCCCCGGCCGCGGCTCGCTGCCCTGCCTGGCTTCGTCTGCGGCTGCCTCTCGCTGCCGGCCGCCACTCCGACGCCCCCCCGCATATGTGCCCCCATGGCTCGCCCAGGAAGGAGCAGGGAGATGAATCCCTGCCCGAATTATCAGGATGCGCGATAAGGATGCAAGGGCCTGGGGCGCCCATTTCGAAGCTCCCCGAGCGGGGCGCGGCCAACGAGGTTGGTCAAGGATGGACCGAGGAGGCAAGGATGCAAGGGTCCCCTTGGGAAAATCGCTCACCCTTACTATGCTTGTAGACTGTACGGCTGGGCCTCGGACAGATTAACATCCTTCAAGAACACGAGACCCTCCACTGGCCAAACTGAACAACACCCGAGAGCACCCTCCCCCAGGATGCACAAGAACATCCAACAGAAACGAAGAACATCAGGGTACCCTCCCCGAACTGACTTCGATCACATACAGTCGGTCCAGATTATCAGGATGCGCGATAAGGATGCAGGGGCCTTGGGCGCCAATTTCGAAGCTTCTCGAGCGGGGCGCGGCCAACAAAAGTGGCCAAGGATGGACAGAGGAGGCAAGGATGCAAGGGTACCCTTAGGAACATCGCCCATCCTTAATTTGCGGGACAACTGAACGGCCGGACCTCGGACAGAAGAACATCTTTCGACCCTCCATTGGCCAAACTGCACAACACTCGAGGGCAAACTCCCTCAGGATGCACAAGAACATCCAACAGACACGAAGAACATCAGGGCACCCTCCCCGAATCGACCTTGATCACCCTCATGAGGCACACAGTCAGCAGACACGAAGAGCATCAAAGTACCCTCCCCGAACCGACCTCGTGGGGAGCCAAAAGGTACCGATACCGCTGCTCCTCGGACCTCTCCCAGGGTAAGCTCTGACCAGGATTTCGAGGCGCATCCAGCGTTCGTGACGAGAGCCTCCCAGGAGCCCCCAAAAAGAAGAAAACGACGAAGGGAGGGTCGCTCGATCATATCGACCTCGGTCCGACCGTATGGATATGGCCCCCTGGGGGGGGGGGAGGCCTTCGCGGCGGCGAGCAGCGCGACGGAGAGGTCCTGCCCCGGTGGGGGGCCGCAATTGCGCCGCCCGCTGGAGGGCGCGGGGGGGCACGCCGCCGAGGCCGAAGCGGAGAGGCGGCGACGGGGGGCGGGGGCAGAGAGAGAGGGAGCGGAAGGGAGGGGCAGAGGGGGAGAGAGCAACGGAGAGAGAGAGAGAGAGAGACAGAGAGGAAGAGAGGCAGAGAAATAACGATACATGCATATATCTATATATATAGATATATATACTGATGTACCAATCTATACAGAGACAGAGAGCGGCAGACAGAAAGAGAGAGAAAGAGAGAGCGAGATAACAAAAGAGAGAGGGAGCAAACTTGACTGATAGAGAGAGAGATGCTTGTGCATGTGTGTTTCCACACTCACATATACACATGCATGCGTGTTGGTGTGAGTGTCTGCGTGCACATATTAGACACACGCGTACGGTACAGCTGCACATGATTATATAGGTGCGCGTAGGCCCGTGCGTGCACATGTATAAGCACACATGTACTCATACCTCATACATATCTATATACGATTACACATCCTTTGCATATCAGTTGTATAAGGGCACGTGAAAGCAAAGGTACCATTGGGACTTCGATAATCCTTACGATCAATGTTGACTGTAGCGTACAGGGGCCTCCTTGGGACCTCTCAAGCTCCTTGGAACCCAGCACACCCCGTGACAACAAAGTCGGGACCCTAGGACGGCTGATCGGGCAATCCCGCGTGCCCTCGCACTCACCGTCAAACACCAAACGATTGACTCAAGCCCTTGCTCCTCGCACGCCTCGGCACTGCTAGACATTGGACACTGGCCAATCCTGCCAAGATCTGTCCAACTCCACCGTGTTTTCGCTCGGGCCCCGCACCACTGGGTCTGCGCCGATCTGGCTCCCGCAGGCGAAGGATGCAACTGGGCCGAGGACGGATCTGAGGGATCCGATGAGGCGTTCTGCGTCTTCCGGGCCCTGGCACACAGGCCCGCGGCACGGGGCTGCGCCGCGCCGCACTTTCGAGCCGCGCTCCGACGAGGCGACGAGAAAGGCACATTGGGCGACCCGCGCCAGGAACACCACAACGGCCCAGCGAGGATCGCACATCTCGTCGGGATGACCCTCCGCACGCACGCGCCCACCTCGTCGGAGCGACCTCGTCGAGAAGACCTGAGCGCCACGGCACGCCAGCGCACCTCCCGCTCGGCAGGGGGAGCGGCCCTGCCTCCCGCGAGTTTTCGGCGGCCAGCTCGAGCACGTGGCCGCGGGCGGGCACGGGGAGGGCTAGAGACCGAACGCGACCCGTCTGGTGCGACGGTACGCGCACGGGCATGCTCGCTGTGATCGGAGGGGTCCTGGTGGGTGGCGGCGAGCCAGGGGGGGGGACTGAGAAGGAGAAGACCTCCCCAGAGGACGGCGGGATTTCTCGCCGAGGTGGGGCAGAACCCAGCCCAGAGGCTCGTCCTCGGAGCGCACGGGAAATCCAAAAGGCACCGATGCCGCTACTCCCAGACCTGTCCCAGGGTGCGTTCTGATCAGAATTTCGAGGCGGGTTCAGCGGTGACGACGAAGGCCTCCCAAAATGCCTCAATTCAAATGGTGCAAAACGAGCCAGGGATCTACTGACCCAGGTCAATCCAAACCCAGGTCAGCCAGGCCCTGCAAGACCCTGCAAACCTGCAGCATCCTGCAGGATCCTGCACCCAATACCAGGTCAACGTGACCTGGCTCTGCAAGATCCTGCAAGATGTGGCGCTCTGACTGACCTCCGTTTGCATTGACCCCCGTCTCTTGAGCCCCGAAACGAAGCAATGGTAGCGGTGCAGTGGAGGCCAGTCCACAAGAAACCTTCCACAAGAAACCCTCCCCTGGGGCCCCAGGACGTCCATTGATTTTTGGTGTGGGGACGTCGCGCTCTCCACATCAAAACCATCGAAACCCAAGAAACCCAGGGCAGCCTGGAGGCAAGCAGGGTGGTTCTTGGCATGGGCCCCCACTACAGCGGTATCGGTACTTTTTCCTCCTCTGAAAGGAAGACCGCTCCGCAGGTCCTGGGGCGTGAAGGTCCACACCCGCCTCGTGCACGCGGGCAGCAGCGCCAGGACCTGCCACGAAGGGGGCTCCTGCTCCTCCACCCGCCACTGCGACGAAGAACGAGGCGGAGGAGGAGGAGGAGGAGGAGGAGGAGGAGGAGGAGGAGGAGGAGAACGACGAGGACGTTGCTGAGGTCGTGGACGGAGGCGTGCTAAGACTCTCCAACATCTGGGTATAACAACATTTCCGGTCTGCGCGCGAAGGGGCGGCCCCTGTTTGTCCCCGCACCCAGAGTACCCCTGGCGGCAGCCTGGGAGCAGCCCGGACTCCCCCGGAGCACTTCGGGAGTGCTCCAAGAAGGCCCCTGAGACGGCCCAAGAGGGCCCCGAGTCACCGAGCGACCTGTCCAAGACGCCCAAGATGGCGTCCAGAAGGCCCGAGACGCCTTTCAAGACGCCCCAAGAGGCCTCCAAGAGACCCTCCAAGAAGGTTCCCAGAAGTAGCATTTAGTAATTAGCCATAGGTTTTTGACACATTTTGGCGTTCTCGTCTTTTCGGCTACCCGGCGCACCAAGACGGCCTAAGAAGTCCCCAAGATCGCCCCAGCACGGTCCAAAATACCTCCAAGACCGCCCCAAGACAGAACCAGAGGCCTTCAAGATGGCCCAAGAAGCCCCCAAGATGGCTTCAAGAGCGAGCCCAGACGGGGGACCCGAACGGGCATTTCGAGCTGCAGGCCTCAAGGGGCCGCCAAAAGGCCCCCCAAGAGGCCCCCAAGAAGTCTCCAAGAGGCCCCAAGAGGTCCTAGAAATACAGCCAGGAGGCACCAGAGAGGCCCCCCAAAGCCCCCGAGACGCCTTCTAAAGAGGCGACTGTCCACGTCCAAATTTGGCCACACAATGGCCCAAGAAGCTATCGAGAGGCCTCCTACTCCTCCTCCTCCTCCGCTCCTCCTCCCTCCTCCTCCTCCTCCTCCTCTTCCTCCTCCTCCTCCTCCTCCTCCTCCATGTCCTCGTCCTCATACTCATCCTCATCCTCCTCGCTCGCCACGAGCTCACCAACGAATAGCACCAGTCATGCAAGATGGGCTCAGGGGCCATCACAAAACAGGCCGCGGGACGGAAGACCAGCCCCGAAGAGGTCGAGAGGTCCGGGGGCCTGCGCCGCAGCGCATTAAAGAAGGCCACGCAACACCGGATGTCTGCAATGATAGGGGGGGCTCTGCAGGGGCTCCTCCTCTTTCTCATCCTCGTTCTCCTGCTCCTCCTCCTCCTCCTCCTCCTCCTCCTCCTCCTCCTCTTCCCTCCTCTTCCCTTTCCAGGGGGGCTGCCACCACCCCAATATGCCGAACGCAACGCCTCAGAAAAACAACCGCCGCCCCCTGCAGCTCCCACACTGCCGACGACCACTCGGCCAGTCGACCGCGGTCCGCCAAATGGGCCGGCGGAATAAGCGAAGCGATTCAATATATACCCGTCGGTCGGAAGAAGTGGGTAGAAACATGAAGTAGGAAGGCGTCGGAAAACGATTGGGCTTCCACCCGCCCTCTGAACAGAACGGACGAGGGAATACCACTCGACTCTTGAAATACATATTTTCGACGACTGGCGTGTAGGTACAAATCCAAGGATTGCCCATGTTTCTCATGTGTCCTGGACGTTCGTCTTCCACTCCACTTCCAATAGGTTCCCATCTTTTCATCGGAATCGGCGATTATCTGTGTCTGTGCCTTTACTTTCCCCTCCTGATCTACTGGGGGAACAGCGGGAATCTCTGAGAAGCGGCGTGCCTGAGGATTGTACGGAGTGCAGTGGCCGTGTCAGGGCGCGCTCAGGAACGCCCCCGAGCGGTTTCTCATCCAGGGCCTGCCTGACCTCCGCCTCATCCCCCTGCCGCAGTCGCCGCTGGCCTTACATTAGAAGAAGAACGAAACAACGTAAGCATGAACTTTTGGCGGATTTCTTAAATTCGCGCTGGACCGCTCTCTGGCGCGCGGAGCGCGCCAAAGGCGGCGCTGGAGGCGCCACCAGGGGGCCCAGGCGCGGATCCAAGACAAACGCGCGGAGCGCCACAAATTTATGTTAATGTGCTTTTGTTCTTCTTTTATGCATACCCGGAGGTTGCGGCCGCGAGTCGGAGAATGGCGATGTCTGATGGACCTGTTTTCCACCACCACCATAAGCTGGAGGGGGGACGGAGGTGGAGGACGAGGAGGAGGAGGAGGAGGACGAAGAGGAGGAGGAGGAGGAGGAGGACGAAGAGGAGGAGGAGGAGGAGGAGGAGGAGGAGGAGGACGAAGAGGAGGAGGACGAGGAGGAACCCCTCCCCCTGCAACTGATGATGGTGGTGGTGGAAAACAGGCCCATCAAAATCGGCTCAAAGTAGGTCCCCCGACCCATCCCGGGGCCCAAACGCAACACTTGCCCGAACCGCGCCCAGCCGTGGCGGCGAGGGGGCCCCCCTGAAGACCAGCTGCTGGCCAGTGTCTCGAAAAACCCTCCGCTGACTGAGGGTGCCCTGTGGTTAGGTCGGGCATGTCCCCCTACATGTGGATTTTTTGCGAAAAATGAAGAATACTCAAAAGGAATACTCCAAACAATTGTGGGGCCACCAGGCTGTAGGGCGAAGGTTCGCAGTTTCCTGTGCCAGTTGCAGCTTCCAGTGTCCATTATTGCAATTCTGCTTCTTGCTGCTTACTGTTCCTTGTTGATGGACCGCGCGAGTGGGGGAGGCCAAAACCGGGCACTTCTACCACGCCCTGAGCGTGTGCTCTGAATTGCTGGGGTGGGTAAAAATTGGCACCCCTCACGCAGATCGGCGGGGTCAGGGTCCAAAAACACAGGGGATGTGCCACATGTCTGAAATTCGGTGGCACCCCTCACGCAGATCGGCGGGGTCGGGGCCCCAAAACAGATGGGATTTGCAACATTTCTGAAATTTGCTGGCACCCCTCATGCAAATCTGTGGGGTCAGGGTTTAAAAACACATGGGATTTGCCACATTTCTGACATTCGGTGCCACCTCTCACGCAGATCGGCGGGGTCAGAGTCCACTAATATAAAGGATTTGCCACATTTCTAAAATTCGGTGGCACCCCTCACGCAGATCGGCGGGGTCAGGGTCCACAAATACAAGGGATTTGCCACATTTCTGAAATTTGCTGGCACCCCTCACGCAGATCGGCGGGGTCAGGGTCCACAAAGACAAGGGATTTGCCACTGATCATCCTCTTCTCCAGATCGCCCAAACCAAATCAAAACTAAAGTTTTGTCGTAATCTTCGGCCTCTGGGGTCCCTCGACGGACACTGGGGCTGTCAAACAAATAGTTCGGGGTAAAATTTTGGCCCCGGGGAAGGGGTCGGGGCTTCCAGGGACCGCGTATTGAACAACATCCAAGATTCCTCATCCTCCTCCTCCTCCTCGTCCTCCTCCTCCTCCTCGTCCTCCTCCTTTGGGGGCCGGACGAGAGGGGGGTGGGGGGGGGCAGCAAAGGGGGGGTCAGCGAATCGGCTCACCCAGCTGGTTGTCCTTCCTCATGCTCTTCCTCCTCTTCCTCCTCCTCCTCCTCCTCCTCCTCCTCCTCTCTGGTTCTCCTCTCCCCCCTGCTCCTCCTCCCCTTGCTCCTCCTCTTGCTCGTCTTCCTCCTCCTCCTCCTCCTCCTCCTCCTCCTCCTCCTCCTCCTCTTGTGCTTGTGTTTCTTCTTCTTCGTCCTATTATTATGATTATTATTCCTCTTTTCCACCTCCTCCTCTTCCTCCTCCTCGTCCTCATCCCCTTCCTCCTCTTCCTCCTCCTCCTCCTCCTCCTCCTCCTCGTCTTTTTCGGTATCCCCCTCGTCCTCCCCCTCCTCCACCTCCGCGTCCTCGCCGTCGCCCTCGTCCTCGTCTTCGTCCCCCTCTGCCTCCTCCTATTTTTCATCCTCGGGCATCCCCCGTGCCCGGTGCCCGACATTTCCCCGATCGGTCCACGGGTGCAAACTTGGCAAACAAGAGTTGTGTTCTGCGTTTTCTCCATCCCCTCCTCCTTCACCTCCCCCGCCTTTGCTTCCTCCTTTTCCTACTCAGTTTTTTACTGTTGCTCCTTATTAACGATGTGATTCCTACTATCTTTATCGATCGTATTATTTATTGCATATCGGTACGCTCGTTCCTTTTCGTAGGTTGTGCATTAGTAATACGTTCGAATGCTGACTACTCTTGTTCATACTCGTTTCCTTGTTTCTTACTCGTATGTTTATTTATCTTATTATTCGTGTTCTGTTTCCTATGGAGATCATTATTGTTATGTGTTTCCTCGTCCTCCTCCTCCTCCTCCTCCTCTTCCTCTTCCTCAAACTCAGAGCCACGGCGTCACTCGCTGTGCCGAAACGCGCCAAGAATCCACCAACACATGCTAGAGCAAACTCGACTTGTCCGGCGGATGCTCTGGGGGGGAATTGCTCAGGCGGGGGCTGCAGCACCGCTCAACGATGTGCTGCCAACCAAACCTGCAGAATGGGCCCAGTGCCTTGTCTTGTGCACTTCAGCTTTGCATTCGGCTTCAGCTGCGGGTGCACCGTGAAATGCCTTCGGGCCATCTCATCCGAATCGGATTTTCCGCTCGCGCGGACACTCCTCTCTATCTTGTTGTCGCTTGCCTTGCTCGCCCCGTCGGTCTTGCCTCCCCTCCCCGCTGCTGCTGTTGCTCCCCCCGTCCAGCTCAGAGGATACCGAGTTCCTCGAAGTCTGGCTTCGCACGCCGCCACGTTCGCATGCGTCGGCCACCGCCACTGTCGCTGTCGCCGTCACCCGAGTCGGCGGCACTGACGAGGGGGCGACGGCGGCAGCGGCACTGCCGAGACGCGCCCAGTCCGGCAAGGCACGAGGGTGCAAACCAGATTTGTCTGGCTGATGCTCTGGTGGGGGGTCTGTGCTCAGGAGAGGCTGCAAAACCGCTTTGCGATGCGCTGTCAATCAAACCTGCAGGATGGGCCCTGTCCGCTCATCTGTGCCCTTCAACTTTGGTTTCGGCGTCAGCTGTTGGCGCACCGTGGAGCGCCTTCGGGCCAGCTCACCAGGAGTCGGAGTTTCC